GAGAGAACGGTGGGAAAGAGCGTGGGGGGAGTCTGGGTACTGCTTCTGTGCCTTGGGCAGCGCGTTGTGGTTGGAGTCCGGGCTGAAGAACACGTCGTTCTTGCCGGGGGACGGAGATCCGTCCGAGGCCGAGTCCTTCCCCCTGCGGCCGTAGCCGCCGAACAGCCCCGGGGAGGAGGCCAAGGGGTCACAGCCCTCGCTCTGCTCCAGGATAGCCCTCATGGCTGGGGGGAAGGACTGAGACCTCTGCCCGTAGCTGGGCAGCACCGGTTGGTACTCGGTGGATTCCGGGAGTTTACTCGATTTCAGGATAGACTTGGCAGGTTTCTTCTTCCAGGTTGAGCATGGCCGAGGGCGGCGGGCCGGAGTAGTCGAAATCACGATAATCCTCATCTTCTTGGAAAGATGTGTCTGGGTAAAACTTCTCCTGGGAGGAATCCAGCAGCGAGGAAGGCATCTCCCTGCTGTCTGCAGCTGGTTTGTACAGAGCGGCCGGAGAGTCCCTGCCCAGGCCGAAGGGTCGGTAGCCGTGCACGGAACTGGGAAGTTCTTGGGAATATCCGTCGTCGCGACCCTGCAGAGGAGACCTGGTGCTGCTGGGGGTGGAGGAGCCCGGGCTCATGATTTTTGACAGCAGGGAGATGGTGTCGACGTTGCTCGACGTGGGTTTGTCCATCATCTCGTCCTGGGTGGGCGTCCCGCTCCGCTCGTCGCGCACCGGGGTCCCGTCCACGTTGTCCATGGAAGTGCTGGTGGGACCGCGCTGGAAGTCTGAGCTGTGACTCTCCGTCGGGATGTTGGACCCCAAGCTGCTGAGGATGGGAATATTTAAGTTCAGGCCACTAAAGCCAGGATTTCCCTTCAGGAAATTGTGGATCTTCATCTCCAAACTGGGGGAAGGGGGTTCAGATTCCAGCTTGGCTTTTGAAATTTCCGAGGATTGAGCCAGTGAGGTTTCTGTTGGCAAAAGGGAAGAAGGACTGGGAGGGTGGGAAGTGGAAAATCCAAGGGAATTGGTTGGTGGTTTAAAACTGGAGCTTGACAACGCTGAGCTATGTCCAACAGGAGCCTTATTGACCGAAGTGGAGGAAACCTCTGCGCTGGAGGAGTTTGGAGAATAACCAAAACTTTTGGCTATGAAGGACTGTGGATTGGAAGGAACGTTCCTCCCCTTCATGCAGGGAACGCTCGTGTTGGCCGGCGACGCCGAAGTGCTCTGGGAAGCAGCTTCACCTGACTGAACAGTGTTTCCAGCCACGCTCTGCAGCAAAGAGGACAAACCTGGAAGACAAAACTCCACATCAGGCACCAGGGGAGAGAGAGGCAAATCACCCCGAGCTGCTGCCAAGGGGAAGGTTGAGGTGGAAAATGGTTGGATTTAGCCACACTGATGGTGCAACCTTCTGCCAGAGGCTCAGAGTGATCTACAAACAGGTTACACCATCCACCTGAGTCAGTTGGGCAAGAACTTGGTGCTGGTTTGCAGCCAAGTGTGGGAAATTCTGCACTGCTGCCAGCTGAGCCCGGGCAAGGTGCAGAGGGAGAACACAAAGACCTCTCTCTCGGTGTCGCGTTCCGTTCTGCACGGAGAGTTCTGCGCACACAACTCATCTGGTCACGGCACGAAGGAGGAAGGAGCAGAGAGAAGGGACAGGACTCGCCGCTCTGTGATCCGTGTGCTACGTGCCAAAACCCATCCCCATGTCCCTGAGCCCTAAACCACTCCAAGGAAAGTTTTCCTCTCTGTTTTCACTTGAGGCCAAGCAGAGCAGCACAGTCCATCCCACACCAACCCCTCCCCGAGCCTCAGCCCGTACCTTGCAGCGCTGGCGCAGTCTGAGTCTGAGTTTTGGAAAGAGCTGATAAAATACTTTCTGGAGTTATCTCCACCTTGGAGAGGATATTTGCTAACGGGTTGGAAGGAGCAGATGGTGTGCCCAGGACAGGAGTCTTCAGGCCACTGGTGAGGGCTGAGGGGCTGGTCGGGGTCCCTGGAGACGGTCTCGAGGCAGGACTCACACCTGGGATGGGAGCACACACCACTCACCCATGTTGTTCCGCTCAGGGAAGCACTTGGGGCTCAGTTTTGTCCCAGAGCACGAGCTGGGGAGGCCGAAGAAGCCAACCCTGAGTGCCACAGACTGAGCCAGACCTGAGCCAGCAGAAACTCACTTGTGTTTATTCGGAGACAACTAAAGCTCAAGGTGACACAACATCGTTAGCGTCGCCGCCCAACTCAGCACTCACCTGTGTTCTTCATCACGGAGGTCAAACTGCTCAGGATGGAGCTGATCTTGGCCAGGTCCACGTTGGCCAAGTTGGGCAAGGCAAGTGCTGGTGGGATGGGCACTGTGCTTGCAGCTTTGGGAGCAGGAGGGGCGGGAGGGGTCGGCGCCGGCGTCGTCACCGTCACCGAGGTGGTGCCGGCCGCGGTGGCAGATGGCACCGCTGCCTTGGGGATGCTCTCAGACTTGGTGGGTGCTGGGGCTGGAGCAGTTTGCTTCTCCTTCCTCTCCTCCACTGCAGCAGAGAGGAGACAACAAGACAAGTGTCACTCCATTCCCCAAGGATGACTTGGGGGATGGAGTTGTCCATTGGATTCTCAACACTG